ACAGCCAAGTTGGTGATCTCGGCAGCAACGCCAGTGTAGGATGTCCACTCTCATGAGTCAGAGCAATAAATCCTGGGCACACCTTTTGATTTTATTTATTTAATCTCCTGCTATTGTCACCCCAGTCTCTTCTCATTTTTAAAGTTGCAGGAAATAATTCATATCATTTAAATCCTTCCTTTTCTACAAATGGAACTGCTGTTGTAGGCATTACTTCATGTTCTAATGTTTTGTTGGAAATAGCTGTTACCTACATAAGTACTTTCTTATTCTTGAAGTAAGCATATATATAAGCCTTCAGTGTAGCATAGTTCTAATATTCCCAACTCCTCTTAGTTTGCTTTAAGAGGAACAACAGTAACTTTGGGGAGGAAGAGACAAAAATTAAGTTAAGTTTCTAGACACTGTATTTTCACTCAGTACCATCTCTACAATTTTCCCTCCTGTTCTGGAGGAGTAATTTCTTCCCTCCAGTTTGTACTTTTGCCAAGAGGTGTCAAAACTGCTAAAAAAAAAAGCTTAAAAAAAGCTTGAATTTGATTAATATAGAGAAACAAGACTTTGCCTGACTGATAATAAAACTGATAAATGACATTTGAATTACTTGTAGCAGTAATTTATTACATAAAATATCTTTTATTTGACATGCGATTAGTTGCTGGAAGCATCACTCAATCTGACTAGTTTAAACATGCTCTAAAATGAACCCCCAGTAAAAAAACAGGGCTGTCTGCTGTTGGCATTATGAAATACACTAATCCAGCAGTGAGGACAAAAATCTGACTTTAAATATTTAAATGATTAATTGGGTTTATATTTTTTTTTACCTTTCTAACCCCTATAATTACAAGCAAACTCAGGGGAGTTTCTAAGCAAGGTGTGCAAAGCTGCCTCCTCCTCATCCAGTTCATCACCAGTGTTCTTCCCCGTGGTGTTCATGGTCTCCATTTATAGGGGTTGTGCAGATTTTACACCTGCTTAAAAATCAGCTCCAGTGACTGCTTTTCTTGCCATTTGGATCTTCTTCTCCCACCCTTGTGTCTTCATTACGTGGGAGGCTGTAGAATACAGGCTGGTTTCTCTTACAATTAAAAATGGTACCTAGAATCCAGAGTCTTTTTTTCCCCTGATGCCTTTCCATGGCTTCACTGTTTGCTCATGGAAAACCACCTCTTCTAGCCTCAGTTTCTACAACTTAAATGTGGGTACTAGTGATGCTGACCTTACTCAGATGCATGAGGCCTAATGAACTGATACCAGGAAAGTTAATTGTGAGATGAATGGGGATCTTAAAAACAGCGTTTACTCTGGAGGTTCAATGCACAGTTGCTTCTGTGGAAAGCAAATATACTTACACAAAACACAGACATACAGCTGGAGAAAATACCTGCATCCCTTCCATTTGCCTTTTGAGGGTCTCTTATGTGGAATCGTTTGTTACTTCCCCCGTGTCTAAACTGGAGAGTTACTGGGCATGTTTTTTCACTTTCTCTGAATTCTGTTCCAGTTTTACAAGTGGGAAATTGAGGATATGCAAAGAAGTAAGTGAAAGCACTGAGGTTACAGCTGAGAAACTTCTAGCCCTCTCTCCTCCCCATGTTTTAGATTAGAGTATTGGAGAGAAAAAGGAAGATTGAGTGTGGATTTTAGGCAGAGCTGTGACATTCTTCATAACATTGTAAAGTTGATGTGGTCAATGCAGAGCCTTTACTGTGTCCCTCACTCACTTTTCCTCTCCACCCCCCTCACTTTTTTTTTGCCACAAGACAGAATTATTTCACACATCTCTAAAATGAGTAAAATGGCATTTCAGCTTCTTGTCTTTATAGACTCTCTGAACTTTAGGAAAGATCATTCTGGTCCCTTTTCATTAATAATGAAAACCAGGGGGCAATAAAATGTTCTTAGCTCAAGCATTATAGGAATGGAGGGAGAGATGAGTGAGGTGAAAGGGCAAAGCAGACAGGGTCCTACAGGTGTGTCTGCTCTCTGCTCAGAGGTCACTGCAGCAGGGAGGTACTTAGGGACAGCCAGTCAAGGACTGCTATGGACAGGGCACCGTCAGACCCACAGACCCTGACATTAATGAACCCTTTACAATAGGCAATTCAGCCTGGAGATGCATTGTCATAGAAGGGGATAACTTCAGTCACAAGTTCAAAGCAGAGAACTGGACAACCAAGAGACTTCAGATACCAGAAATGACAGTGGAAGCAGAGTAAGGAGGGAAAAGTGGGGTGGGTGACTGGGGTGTGCAGCAAGATTAGCCAGAGATCATTTTAAATCCTGACATGTACACAGCCAGTTACTGCAGCTTAGCTGATGTGTGTTAACTCATTAAGTTAAAAAGTTATGATAATTTGGTCATGTGCCTAAGCTCCAAAACTGCAACTGCAGCAACCCAAAATACTCCTGGTGACACTACTCACCACTTCTCACAGAACTGCTTTAATTTGTTCAGATTCTAACCAGTGGATAATTTGAGGAGCTGTGTCCTAAAACGTTGCAAGATGCTATGAGTGCCAGTATTTGAGAGCCAGTGCCTGCTTATAGAGCCTTAGGGGTGGGATTTCATTCTTGCAATGAAATGCCTGTAGAAGATCTCAGCAACAGAAAAACTGGCAGTAGGTGAGCAAAGTGGAAAGGAGAGAAGCTTCCAGCCAGTTCAGCCTCCCTTTGAAAGCCTAAATTGAAACTTTGGAGAAGTGAATGCATTTCTGAGACACTGCAGGTCACATGTAGATTTGGATCTGTCTGTTTGGAGACTGTACACCGGCCTCCACCTCATCAGTTCTGCCCACATCCTGCCACTGAACTTTAGGAAAGATCACTTTGCATCCTCTTTGTTATTAAAGAAAACCGGGGGCAGTACAAGATTTGTTAAGGGAACTGCGAGGGAGGTAAAAGGATAAAGCTGGTGGAAAACTACAGGTATCTTCTGATTCTCCTTGAAGGAGAGGAGCACACCGGAGCTTTGCTTTGCTCTGTGGAGTCTCTCAGCTTCTGTGCAGAATTGTGTGTTAAATAGCTCAAGCTTTTATCCTCTTCTTTACCTCTCTCTGTAGATATTTAATTGCGTATTTTCTTTTTGCTGTTTATGTGTGTTTTGGTCTCTGTTTGTAATTCAGGCTTGAAAGACATTGGCTCATAATTGCTGATGCAGTGTTCATAAACCCATCAACTGCCCTGAATAGATTCCTCTTCTTTCTCAAAACCCTGCTTTCTTTTTTTCTGCATTCTTCTGGATCTCTGGCTCTGTCCCCATTTTCAAAGATGATGATAGTGGAGAACAAGAGGTGTTCAAGTAATGAGTTAACCTTAGCTAGTACTAACACTGCAGACAGTATCTGGGGGAAGTGCAGGCAAAACCAGTTTGATGGAACTTTTAAAGTGCTGCTGTGATTTGCGTCTCTTTGACACTTTTGCAAGGCCATTGTCAGTGCTGGAGGTTTGGACAGATGTTTCAGTGTCCTAAGGCCAGAAGCCTGCACACTGTACCTGAGGGACTACCAGCGTCCTAATTCCCTCTGCTCAGTAAATCCGTGCCTGCTAAGAAACAGCAGAACTGGCATTATTCATTGCACTCTGATAAAATAGGAATGAAAATGATGTCATCTACAGTTCTGACTATGCTTATTTCTTCATTTTGGCCTTTAGGTCCACCTGGCTCCAGATGGCGAGATTATGGAGCTTTGGCTATTATAATGGCAGGAATTGCCTTTGGGTTCCACCAGCTGTACAAGGTAATATCTCCCTCACTTCTCTTACACTGTGCTCTGAGGGAAAAATGTTCTGCTGCTCGTGTCCACATGATCATGTTGGGTCCAAGTTGCTGAAGCATCTCTGCTCTTACTGGCATTGCCATTGGTGTATGCGAGAAATGTAGACACCCAACATGAAAATGCAGTCAAGAAGTGGCAAGCAAACAAAGCTACATCTTACAGTGGATGCTAGAAACAGGGTCATTTTCATTGTGTATATATATTTTGGGATTTTTTAAGTTGAGGAAACTGAGCACAGTTCAGTAAAAGGATTCTCCCAGCAGTGACCAGCAGGCATTACTGCCACAGCCCCAGTCTAATGATTTGCCCACTGATGATCCTGCACCATGGGTAGGAAAGAACCTTCTTTGACCGATCAGAACACTGGAAAGAAGGTGCTAATTTCCAGGCCTGCCATATATCCTGTAGTTCTGTTCCAGTGTGCTTAGAACAAGGTAGAACAAGAGTGTGTCTGCTTGTGTATTGTAGAGACAGCAGCCCCTTCTTATTTCTTGTGCAATGTTCCTCCAATTGAACATACTTTTTCACTCTGGGTTGCTTTCCAGCAGTGTGGTAAGTGACATTAGATACTGTCTTTGGTAAACAATCGTATTCTGTGGCTACGTAGAAAGACATTAGTGGTTGAAATCAACATAGCAGAGTGTGAAGAGCTTTGGTTC